ACACACACACACACACACACACACACACACACACACACACACACACACACCCTCTTTGTATTTAGTTTTTAGTTGTTTTGTAGTGGCTTTATTTTAGAGATATAACCACATATTTCTACTATTCACCCATTTAAAATACAATTCAATGATTTTTAGCATATTCACAGAGCTGTTTAATCATCACCATAATCAATGTTAGAACATGTTCATAACCCTGTAAAGAAATCCTGTACCCTTTAGCAGCCACTCCTCATTTTCTCCAGAACCTTTCAACCCTGGGTAGTCACTGATCTACTTTCTGTCTTATTGATTTGCTTACTCTGGACATTTCATATAAATTGAATCATTCAGTATGTGGCCTTTTTGTTACTGGCCTCTGTCACTCAGCATGTTTTTAAGGCTTATGCATGCAGTAGCATGTTCAGTACTTCATTCCCTTTTATGGTTGAAATTCTATTCTCTTGTAAGGGCATGCCACATTTTATTTATCCATTCATCAGTCATGGAACGTTTAGGTTATTTCCAGTTTTGGGCCATTATGAGTAGTGCTTTTATAGAGCATTTGTGTACAAGTTTTTGTGTGGACATACGTTTTCATTTCTTTTGGGTATATACCTAGGGATGAAATTGCTAGGTCATATGACACTGCTATATTTCACATATTGTGGAACTGCCTGTTTTCCAAAGCAGCTGCACCTTTTTGCAATCCCACTAGCATTGTATGAACGTTTCAGTTTTTTCACATCCTTGGCAACACCCATTCTTGTTGATTGTAGCTGTCCTGGTGTGTATGAAGTGTTACTTCATTGTGGTTTTGACTTGCATTTCACTGATGACTAATGATGTTTATTGCTTATGGACTTTTGGTTTAGGAGTCTCTTTCTGGAAATGTCTGTTCAAGTTCTTTGACGATTTTAAAATTGGGTTATTTGATTTATTTCTGAATTGTAGCAGTTTTTATATATTCTAGATATAAAAGTCTATATTCTATATAAATATATATTCTGTATTCTAGATATGAAAGTCTAGATTCAAGATAAAAATCTCTTATCAGGCATATGATTTGCAAATATTTTCTCCCAGTGTATGAAATTTCCTTACATTCTTAATGGTAATCTTTTGTTAATATGTTTATAGTTCTGACATTCTAAATATGTTTGGTTGCAAATGTAGTCTTTCCTTACATGTTTCTTAATTATTCCTCCTTTTTCTTTTATCTTTATACCTGTTATTTCCTTATTGTTTTTATTCCTACACTTTTATTTTTCATTTTCTTCAGGTACTTTATTTTTTACTTATATATCTCCATATTCTGTGAATTCCATATTGAAAATGAAAACTTGTCCCCTTTCCCCAATGCTTTCTAGTTGATTTTCTAGTAAAGTATAGCCATTATCAATTTTGTATTACACAGATGCAGTAGATATGAGAATTAGTATACAACAAGGAGGAAGCTTTCTATGTCTTTATTTAAACATTTCATGAAGTGTGCTGCTTGTTTCTAAGATCAGTATGTATTGGGTTAGGTTGCTTCTATTTCAGTGATTAAACTCTCTTTCTCTTTTTTCTTAAAGATTCAAAATGGAAAGTTTAGAAGAACCTCAGAAAAAAGTGTTTAAGGCTCGAAAAACGATGAGAGTGAGTGATCGTCAGCAACTTGAAGCAGTATACAAGGTCAAAGAGGAACTGTTGAAAACTGATGTCAAGCTGTTAAATGGCAACCATGAAAATGGAGATTTGGACCCAACCTCACCTTTGGAAAATATGGATTACGTTAAAGACAAGGAAGAGGTGAATGGCATTGAAGAAATTTGTTTTGATCCTGAAGAAAGTAAAACAGAATGGAAAGAAACACCCTGTATCCTAAGTGTTAATGTAAAAAACAAGCAGGATGATGATTTAAATTCTGAACCTTTGTCTCCCAATAATATAACTCTAGAACCAGACTCTAAACTGACTGCTGAACCAGTTTCTGGTGATCCAGCCCCTGGTGATCTGGATGCTGGAGATCCAGCCTCTGGAGTACTGGCCTCTGGTGATTCCACCTCTGGTGATCCCACCTCTGGTGATCCCACCTCTAGCGACCCCTCCGCTAGTGATGCTGCCTCTGGTGATGCACCCTCTGGTGATGCCCCTTCTGATGATGTCCCTTCTGGTGATGCCGCCTCTGGTGATGCCACCTCTGATCTCTCCTCTGGCGATCCCACCTCTGGTGATCCCCTCCCAGGTGAACCAGTGTCTGTTGCACCCATTTCTGGTGATTGTGCCTGTGATGATATAGCTTCTAGTGAAATAACTTCTGTTGATCTGGCTTCCGGAGCACAAGCTTCCATTGATCCAGCCTCTGATGATCTGGCTTCTGGTGAACTATCCTCTAGTGAACTGGCCTCTGATGATCTGGCCACTGGTGAATTGGCCTCTGATGAGCTGACTTCTGAATCAGCCTTTGATCGTACCTTTGAACCAAGTTCTGTACCAGTTTGTGAACCAGTTCCTGAAATTGACAATATAGAACCAAGTAGCAATAAAGATGATGATTTTCTTGAAAAAAATGAGGATGATGAAAAGTTAGAGCAAATTCAAAGTAAAGACTCATTGGATGAGAAAAATAAAGCTGATAGTAATATTGATGCTAATGAAGAAACTCTAGAAACAGATGATACAACTATTTGTTCAGATCGACCTCCTGAAAATGAAAAGAAGGTAGAGGAAGATACTATCACAGAGCTTGCCCTTGGAGAAGATGCTATATCTAGCAGTATGGAAATTGACCAAGTTGAAAAGAATGAAGATGAAAATTCTGCAGATCTTGTTGGAAGCATTAGTGAAAATGTTACGGAAGATGACAAAAGTGAGAATATCTTAGAAAATACAGACTCTATGGAGACAGATGAAATCATTCCTATTTTGGAAAAGCTTGCACCTTCTGAGGATGAACTTACTTGCTTTTCTAAAGCATCTCTCCTTCCAATTGATGAGACAAATCCAGATTTGGAAGAGAAAATGGAAAGTTCTTTTGGTTCACCATCTAAACAAGAAAGTAGTGAGAGTTTGCCAAAAGAAGCCTTTTTGGTCCTCTCTGATGAAGAGGACATTTCAGGTGAAAAAGATGAGTCTGAAGTTATATCGCAAAATGAAACGTGCTCTCCAGGTTAGCATATAACTTAAATTTTAAAGATTTTTATCGACTTTAATTAACTGTTTAATAAAACATTATCATGTTTTAAATTTATTTTAGCTGCAGAGAAAGTTGAAAATAGTGATGACGCTATAGAAAGATGTCTTAATTTCATAGAATTCAGAATTACAGTGTGTCTCCTCTTTGAGCGGCATTGTGCTAAGTACTAAGAAAGGAGATAAAGTAAGTAGAAAATATGCCCTTATAGTCTGGAAATAGAGATGAAGTAGAGCACCATAACACTGAGATAACAATTTAAGTCAGTACATAATTGACTGGTGGTGTAGCAGTTGTTCTTTCTTGGTATCATTTAGTGAACAGATAACTTAAAACTAAAAGCCTAATCGTTTATTCTATTTGCTTCAAGCATAACAAATTGTATTTTTAATTAATATTCTCAGTGAAATCCTATTCTTTAATATTCTTTGTCCAGGGAATGACACCACCATTGTTGTAAGCCAAAAACCGTAAAGCTTGATTATCTACATGATAAACATTTTACCCATTTGCTTCCTCAGCCTTTTTGGTTCTACCCAACGTATTCTCTTCCTCCTCATTTTCTGAATGAGCTCTTTATAAACCAGTTCTCTTACTTGATATTGTCCCTCTATGTTGTTAGATTTCTGTTACTTTTAGGTTGATTTCAAACTCCTTATGTAAAAGGTATATTAACTTTATGATTTGTTCAGTACCTGTCTCTCCCATCTCTTGAATTATTACTAGAGAAAAAGAGAATGAGAAAAATTCTACCTTCTTTCATGGTCGACTCAAAAACACTATCCCTGTATGAAACTTTCTCGGCCTGAGGAAGACTGAGAAAGGCATGTATAACTTTCTGTTCTCATTATATCACATTCTTTTAGATTTAGACATCTATGAGAGAAGTGACCTTGCTAACATAAAACACAGTCTAATTTGTTAAAAGAAAAAAAATGGAAGCAGATTTTAGAGACACAGAGACAATTTTTCCCCAAATATATCATACCAGCTTTTGGAAGTAGATTTTTTTCTTACTAAAGGATGACTTTTTTTCTTTTTTTGGCCAGATGTGGTGGCTTACGCCTGTAGTCCTAGGACTTTGGGAGGCTGAGGCGGGCAGATTGCTTGAGCTCAGGAGTTGGAGACCAGCCTGGGCAACATGGCGAGACCTGTCTCTACAAAAAAATACAAAAATTAGCCAGGCATGGTGGCACTTGTCTGTAGTCTTGGCTATACTTGAGGGGCTGAGGTAGGAGGATCGCTTGAACCTGGGAGGCCGAGACTGTGCCACTATACTCCAGCCTGGGTGACAAAGTGAGACCCTGCCTGAAAAAACAAGAAAAGATGGCTTTTTATTTTCAAAGAGCATTCGACTAACCTATATAAAGAGACAGACCAGGCCCTTCTTGGTTCTAGAGATTTGAAGATAGTATTTGCCCTGAAGATACACACAAGAATTAAATCACAGGTCATTAAATACAAGGTTGTGAGTACGGTAATAATGTTAAATTGGTATTCTGGGAGTGCAGAGGAAGGTAACTTTATTAGAGCACCAGATGTATTCAGGGATGTCTTGCCCCTTTCAATAACATAGAGTTTTCGTTTTGGTTTTGTGAGACAGGGTCTTGCTTTGTTGCCCAGGCTGGAGTGCAGTGGCACAATCATAGCTCACTGTAGCTTTCACTTTTTTGGCTTAAGTTATTCTCCCACCTAAACCTCCTGAGTACCTGGAAATATAGGCATATGCCACCACACTTAGCAAAGTTTTAATTTTTTTTAGAGAGACAGGGTCTTGCTATATTGCCCCTGCTGCTATAACGTAGGATTTTAATGAGTCTAATTCCTTTTTTTTTTTTTTTTTTTTGAGATTGAGTCTCACTCTGTCTCCAGGCTAGAGTGCAGTGACACGATCTTGGCTCACTGCAGCCTCTGCTTCTCAGATTTAAGCAATTTTCCTGTCTCAGCCTCCCGAGTAGCTGGGATTACAGGCATGCGCCATCATGCCCAGCTAATGTTTGTATTTTTAGTAGAGACAGGACTTCACCATGTTGGTCAGGCTGGTCTTGAACTCCTGACCTCATGATTTACCCACCTCGACCTCCCAAAGTGCTGGGATTACAGGTGTGAGTGACTGCGCCTGGCCAAGTCTAATTCCTTTCAATGGCAGCTCTATCCTACTTGCTCAGGCCAGAAACCTTGGAACCATTTTTATTTTTTCTTTCACTTCCTATATTCAGTCCACCAGGAAATTCTGTTGGTACTGCTTACTATCTTAATAGATCTAGGATCCATTTCACAACTGCTATTACTCCTGTTCTGAGTCACCATCGTCAGGCCAAAACGGTGCCTGGCACATAGTAAGTGCCAGTAAATATTTGTAAAGTGAATGAATAACAGATAATATAAGAGAAGCATATCATCAAGGACTTGATTATAATGCTAAAGCTTTATGATAGCATTGGAATGCCAATAAAGGACTTAAAGCAGAGGAAAATGAAATTTACATTTTGGAAAGATAATAGGTGACAGTGTTAAGAATGAACTTCATCCATTCAGTAAGTGTTTATACAGAGTGTGGCACTAGGACAAGTCCTTAAAAAAGCCTTATAAGTTTTTTTTTTTAAAGTCTGTGTAAGAAAGTTAAAAAATCAAATTGTAACTTACGATTTAATGAGTTTATACATCTGACCTTTAAGTCAGAATCTTGATATTGGAGGTCATCCCACACAAGGCAGTTAAGTGCTGAGAGATGAATATTAAGTCAGGCATGTTGCATACTTTGAAAATTCAAAGTTGGGAATATTATTGGTTACTTACCTTTAATCTGATGGTATGCTATTAGCAGGCCAAATTTCATGGTAGATTTAATTTCTTGGCTTATAACTAACCTTTTATTTTGTATCTTTTCCCCTTCCTCTAAAGGTAATTTTGTGTATTTCCTGTTTAAGGAAGGTTTCTTTATTGGTTCTTAAACTATACTCTGTTCTCTTTTTATGGGGGCAGAATCTGTTGTATGTCCTTTATCTTGCTGTACAGTACACCTGCTGAAATGTTACTTAAATAAATGCCTTTATTCTTGACTAATTTTTACCGTACTCAGAACACAGAATTATTAGCTGAAGTACTAAAGTCTGGCTTCAATACTGCTCCTCCTTTTAGCTACTAACATCTATGAGTGTACTAAAAGGAAAATAGCGTAACCTTTCTATCATTTCAGGCACTTGTTTAGCAAATATTTTAAATGTAGCAGTTATGATGAGCATTAGCAGCAACAAGAAATAATGAAAGATAACAAAGCAAATAGAAAAGCTATTTTAATTTTACGAAAGCAGAAGAAAGAAGTAAAAAGGTGTTGCATATATACCTTAATAAGCCTAGAGACACTGTTGAATTGTGGCATAGTTCTGTTATAACTGATAACTCACTAAATTATTAAAATGATAGTCTATTTAAGGAGAATAGTAAAATAAAGATTTATCTCCCTGGGAATGTTCAAACACTAGAGGATTTGCATCTCCATACCATATACTTTCCTCTAGCTACTAATTACTCTCTTTCAGAGCCATTTTTCAAGTTATATTAACAAAGCTAGCACCATTTTTTCTTCTCTTAACCCTTCCGTTTAGCTGGATTTTGATTTCTGCCTTGCTAGCTTCCCCACTTTTAATTATTCTCAGTGAAATGATACTGATGACCATGTTATTAAATCCGGGAACATCCTTTCTTTGTCTTATTTGTTCTTCCATACTTGGATATGCTCTTAATAACAGTCCTTCTGTCTTGAGACTCTCCTTAGCTTTTAGGTTACTGCATTCTCCGTCTTCTCTTTTTTGGTCCTTCTCATTCTATTTCTCGTGGAAAAATAGGGATAGGCCTTCTCCACATTCTTCTTTTTCTTAAATGTAAGATTTTTGAAGAGAAAAATCTGTTTTAGAGTGAACCAGAGCTTACATTAAACACTGATATAGTTTCCTTGCAGATTTTATTTCAGATTAAAAAAAAATCTGGTTGATATTTTCTCCCCCTTGTTCATTGGATCTTTAACATAAAATAAACATAAACTGATTCTAATGAGGATAATTACCTTAGACTAGAATTTGGGACTTTCTTCTATTTTTGCTTAGGTTAGTATTGCTAAATTGGCATGATTTAGTCAATTTACTGATAATTTGTCACAGTTGTGTTCAGTTAAAATTCTTTATCATCTCAATCCAGTTATATTTAGCTATTGTACTTGGCTTCTCTTTGTGGAGCTTCTTAGTTCTGTACACTAGTTTGCAAATTGCAGATTTTTATTTTCAGAGTTGAGGAAGACCAAAGATGAAGTAGATTTTGGAAGGAGGAGTATAGGAGGAAGATCATTTTCAGATGAGTATTGTTGTCCGAGTTAGATGTGTAAGTCTTGATTTGTATTAGAAAAATATAGTAGATAGTATGTAGCTATTAGTTGAAGTCAGGTGACAAGGTGAAATCAGCTCAAAGTGAGTATACATGGAGAAAAGATCCAAGAACTGAGCTTTTGGCATTTCAGTGTTTAGTGGTTTGGGAGATGAGGAAGAACCAACAAAGGAGCTGAGAAAGAGCAGCTCCTGGGGTAGGAAGAAAATGGAGAGATTTTGGTGTTTCAGAAGCCAAGTAAAGACACTGTTTTGAGGAGGGAGTAGTGGAACTGTTTACTATATCAAATGCTGCTGTGTGTGCTCATAAGATGAAGAGAAGTATTTAACAACCTGGAGATCATTGATGACTTTTACAAGGGGCAGTTTTGGTGAATGCTGGAGTGGAAAACCTGATTCAGGTTCAAGAAAGAATGGGAGGGGAAGAATTGGAGATAATACAATCTAACTTGCCCCCACTAGGTTTTGCTTTTAAAAAGAGCGCAAAAATTCACATAGAAGCTATTATTTGCCACTCTGTATTGGTTAAATAAAACTAAAAATGTCTGGAAAAGTCACATTACCAGTCATGCCTCATTTTTCTGATAGGTCTTGTTAAGTTGAGAATCTTTGTATGTTTATTTGCCTTTTGTAGTTCCTTGTTTATGAATTGCCTGTTCATCCCCCTTGCCCATTTTTCTAATGGGTATTATCTTTAATTAATCTGTAGGAATTTCTTGTTTTGTTATAAATATTTTCATGGAGCTAGTAATCTAAAGCAGGGAACTGGTAGACTGGTCTGTGAGCCCTGTTTTTGTAAACAAAGTTTTATTGAAACATAGCTGTGATAATTTGTTTACATGTTACATAGCACTGATTGCTGATTCCTGCAGCAAGGACAGAATTAAGAGGTTGTGTCAGAGACAATGTGGCTAACAAGTTTGAAAATATCTATTTTTTGGCCCCTTACAGAAAAAATTTGACAATCTCTGATCTAAGGCAATGGTTTTTGTTAGTTTTTCCTTAGAATAAAGTTCTGTAAAGTATAATTCTGCAATGGAAAACTAAGCCCCTAATGTAAATTCTATTTTGTAATCCTTTAAAAATACACTTTTCTGCATTTACTTAACAGAACTTTGTTAAAGCTAATAGTCATCTGGTAAGTATTAAACATCTAATTTGTCTCAGCTATTTCTCAAAAGTTTTTGGGATTACCAAAACTATGAGATCTGATATCTGCCCTCAGTGAGCTTACTGTCTTAGCCTGCTTGAAAGAATATCACACATGGAACTGTGAGAACTTGCCAACTTTGAGAACACAACTGTGAGAACTTGTGATGAGGTTATACTCAAGAAAATCAGAGTAATTATAACAGAAACTTATCTGTGAGTAAGGAAAGATTCTAAAAAAGACATTCTTAACCTATTTGGATGAGTTTCAGGAGTCCCAGGAACTACCTGAAATTACTTCTAAAGTTGTCTGTGTACCAAGGACCTCCGATTATTACTCTGGGTTGAAGGAGACCCATTATCAGTGTTTCTTCAGGCTTTGGGGACAAAATCAAAGAATATAAGGCCCTACACTTCTATGTACAATCTGTTAATACCATTTTTTAAATCCCAAGTTTTGTCTGTTACATAAAACTCTAACATATATTTTAATTCTGTGAATCCTGAGTATTTTAAGTGTTGGGAATTCAGTAATATCTTCTAGGCATATCTGGAAACTGGAGTTGGGTGATAGAAGGAGGTTTTTGAATAAAATGAAGAAATCTCAAGCTGAGCTTGACTTATGGAGAGGAAACTAACGTGTATAAAAGAGGCAAACCAAACCAGGCCAATTTACTCTGCTGTGTTCTGCATCTCTGGCTTAGAGTTACCCTAATTGGAGCCATGGCTAATTTTGTGCTTTCTGTGATGTGAGGATTTGCTGAATAAGGACTATCTAAACCTTTTTTCTTGAGCAACCCGGTTACTCTGTCTCTCATGAAACTCGGGGGACTAGGAAGCTCAGGAGTTACCAATACTCAGCATTAAATCAGGAAGATATGGAAAAATATATATAGAAAAAATGTGTTGTAATGAGTTTTTGATCTGTTTACAAGAAAGCAAACAAAAGTTTTATTTCATTGAAACAGGTTGAGAGATGAGGTCTTAAAACACTTAAAATTAGCAAAGTGTAGTAAACAGAAAGTTAATTTTCAAATAATTTATTTTAGAGTTCAAAAATAGTTTTAGTAATCCTGTGTACTGTGTTAGCTTATTGTTTATCTTAGAGTGAAAAAAATACTTCTAGCCCCTTAATAGATATTTGTCAATGATCCTCATCTCTGCCTATTTTCACCTAAAATATCTTAAAAATTTTTTTTAATCTTGATTTTTGCTATTAGGGCTGTTGTGATTAAAAACTCTGATGACTGGAGAAGAAATGTCATATCAGAATCTTTATATACTTTATGATTGCTGATTTACTATTAGTTGCAGAACGTGATGAAACATAGCATGCTTAATTGAAGCCACTGCGAAGCAAGATGCAGTGATGTAAGGGGGAAAATAGAAGTCAAGCATCTTAGTGATGTTTTGTAGCTCCCTTATTCCTCATTTAATGAGTAGGTTAGTTGAAGAGACATTTATTGATTGACCAAAAGAACATTTCTGGTACCTCTTGGATTTTATTTAATATAATCGTGTAGACATTTTTAGCAATATCTTTTGGCATCACTCTTCAGTTGTTACATTTTATATGACTAATGAAAATTAACCCTTCTGGGTTAATTTATATTTAGCTATTGTACTTGGCTTTATATTTTATATGACTTATGAAAATTAACCCTTCTAGTTTAATTTATATTTAGGTATTGTACTCATGAAAATCTCATGAAAATTAACCCCACTGGGCCAGGCTCTGTAGCTCATGCCTGTAATCCCAGCACTTTGGGAGGCCAAGGCGGGTGAATCACCTGAGGTCAGAATTTGGGAGACCAGCCTGCCCAACATGGGGAAATCCCATCTCTACTAAAAATACAAAAAATTAGCTGGGCATGGTGGTAGGTGCCTGTAATCCCAACTACTCGGGAGGCTGAGGCAGGAGAATTGCTTGGACCCTGGAGGCAGAGGTTGCAGTGAGCTGAGATCACGCCACTGCACTCTAGCCTGGGCAACAAGAGTGTAACTCCATCTCAAAGCAAAAAAAGAAAGAAAAGAAAAGAAAAAAGAAAAAAAAAATTAACTCTTCTGAATGTTTTCCTCATCAATTTGATGACAAAATGTACAGTTTATAGTTTGAGATTATATTGTGACTATATAATAGCTATTAAGCACCTAGCTCAGTTGTTGGCACTGTTATCAAAGTAGGTATATATTTAAAGTTTTTGTTATATTTGGGATAGCCTTTCCATTCCTTATTTATGAACTCTTTCTTCCATAAGAATTTAAGTAACTTAATGATTCAACCTGGATGTTCAATGTATTAGGTGTTTTGAATTTTCCAGTAGTTTGGAATTTTTATGGTAATTGTCATGGCCACTATTTTAATTATTGAATGTAAAGGAATCAAAATGCTCTACAATTGTTTTCACATTTTATTAATGTTATTGGTGACAGAAAATTACTAAATAATTTTTTGAAATTACTTAAAATCTATATTAAGATTAAATCCTGTGTGGAATTTGTTCTGAATTGCTGAACAGTTGATTGTGGACTTTATCATTCATTCTACCAGTTCTTACTCCTCTTTTTCCTTCCCAAAATTTTACATTTTGGGACTCCGATTTTATAAAAGGTTAGTTTTATAACTGGATAGTGACTAAAAATGTAAATTAGTGAGCTGTTATTAATTCCAGTACAAGTAAGATTTCCTTTTCTATATTTGTTAACAGCAGAAGTAGAAAGTAATGAAAAGGACAACAAACCTGAGGGAGAAGAGCAAGTAACACATGAAGATGATGAAAGACCTTCTGAGAAAAGTATGCATATATAAACAAACTTGAACTTGTTTGAAAAATAATAATTCTTTGTTTCGGTATTTGCAACCATGGAATATTCTTTTTTGCCCATGAAATGATTGTAAAATTTTGCAATTTAAGTAAGCCACAATTATATCATTTTGTTGATGCTAACTGAAGGATTTCTGAAAGTATACTTCATATACCTCAATATTTTATTTTGTTTGTTTATACTTTTTATTGTTCCACAGAAAGATTCAGGTTAAAATTTGCTAAGGTACAAAGTGTTTTGAGATAATTGCTTTCGATTTATGTTTAGAGAATGAAACTACAAGAATTTTGTATGGGCTAATATAAGTGAATGGAAGGGTGTATTTTAGTCTACTTAAGGTTCTTAGTCTACTTAAGGCCAGATGTAGTGACTCACACCTGTAATCCCAGCACTTTGGGAGGCCAAGATGGGAGGATTGCTTGAGGCCGGGAATGCAAGACCAGTCTGGGCAACATATCAAGAACCTATCTCTACAGAAAAAATATTTGAATTAACCAGGCATGGTGGCACACACCTCTAGTCCTAGCTACTTGGGAGGCTACAGTGGAAGGATTGCGTGGGTCCAGGAATTCAAGGTTCTAGTGAGCAGTGATTGAACCACTGTACTCCAGCCTGGGTGACAGAGTGACACCTTGTGAGAGAGAGAGAGAGAGAGAGAGAGAGAGAGAGAGAGAGGAAGAAAAGAAGAAGAAGAAAAGAGAAGAAAAGAGAAGAAGAAGAAGAAAGAAGGAAGAAGAATAAGAATAAAAGAGAAGAGAAGAAGAAAAAGGAAAATAGGAGGAGGGAAGGAGAAAGAATAAAAGAAGGAAGAGTGGGAGGAACAAAGAAAGGGAGGGATGTTTTTAGCTTTATGGGAAGTGGGGGAAATGATGGACTGAGTGTCCTTAGATTTGGGAAGAGAGATCATTGGACTAGAAGTCAAGAAAGCTGGGTTCTGTAACTCTCCTGTCATGCTGCTCTACAGATATGACCATGGGTAAGTTACAATTATAAGATAAATTGTAGAATTGAGTGGATTTAAAAAGTAGGCACATAGATACAAATATAGAGTGATATAGAGTGGGATAGGCATGGTCACATAAAAGCATTTGTGTTTAAAAAGTGTGGAGAGAGTAGTATTTTAATTTTTTTAGTTATTGAAGAAGAAACCGAATACTATTTGCTTATGATTCCAGAATATTAAGAGTATTTGAAACAAATTTTCTAAGCGAAGTCTTCTAGTCTGTATTTTTTATAAATACTTCTAACATTAATTTTATTTTTATTTGAAATTGATTAGGATATGTTAAGAATAACTATTACTATGCTAGTTTTGTAAGGCTGATGATTAAGAATTTTTTCTTATACTTACAGAGGAAAAAGAAATAATTAAAGCTGTGTGTAGTTAAAACTCTGACATGAGAATGAATACTATATTTTGTCAGAGGATTCATGTGCACTGTGACATTTAGTTACAGGAATGAATATGAGATGATTTCATCTACCTTCTTCATGACACAATTGTTAGGCAGTTTTCCTTCCTAATATGAAGATTTCAAGGAAATTCTGTGTTCACAGTGTGCATTGCTTAACCATTGGGAGGTTCTTACTTAGTATATTGACAGTCATTTGAAGTTTTAAGCTAAAGGCTGTATACCTACTTTTCTGACATCCAAAACAATTTACAAAACAGTTGATTGAAAACAATATTTTGCTGAGGATGGATCATATGCATTAAGAGCTATAAGAAAAACACCCGAGTGTGATCATTGTGGTTTTTCTTCTCAGATGAATTTTCCAGACGAAAACGTTCTAAATCAGAAGACATGGACAATATACAGTCTAAACGTCGTCGATATGTGGAAGAAGAATATGAGGCAGAATTTCAAGTAAAGATTACAGCCAAAGGAGATATTAACCAGAAACTTCAAAAGGTATTGTGTAGATTATGTTATAAACCATATTGAATGAATAGTACCACTGTCTGTCTTCTTCTAGGTTTTTGACATTATTTTGTATTTTATTGACATAATCTGGTTTATCATATAAAGAAAGAACTTAAGAAAGTGGTTGAGCTTGTAAAGTCAATTACTGGCCTGATGTGGTGGGTGGCTCACACCTGTAATCCCAGTCTTTTAGGAGGCTGAGGTGGATGGATCATTTGAGGTCAGGAGTTTGAGACCACCCTGACCAACATGGTGAAACTCTATCTCTACTAAAAATACAAAAATTAGCTGCATGTTGTGGTGGGTACCTGTAATGCCAGCTACTTGGGAGACTGAGGCAGGAGAATCACTTGAACCCAGCAGGTGGAGGTTTCAGTGAGCTCAGATCATCCCATTGTACTCCAGCCTGGGCAACAGAGAAAGACTTCGTTTTAAAAATAAATAAATTAATTAAAAAGTCTATTACCATTCTTGATAATTTAATTTTAAAATTTCTTCTGACTTCTTTTTGGCGACATCTTTTTTTTTAAAAGATGGTTATGATTATCAAAATGGAAGGGAGAGAAGATGACATTTTTCTTTATTTGCTTTGGTAACAAAACGGAATGTTGTTTTTCAGCTTTTCTTTTTTTCTCATATGGAACGTAATCTTATTGTGAAAAGGAAATTGTTAGAGTTTTAAATATAAACATTTTAATCTTTATAAAGCTGGTTTCATGGTTACAAGCCTGTACATTCTAAATTCTTTATTGTGTACTTTAGGGTTAGTATAAAAATGGTAGAGACAGAGCTTTAGAAGGACTAGAGAAAGGAATATTTAAAGTACAGACTTTGAAATTCTCCCTACATCTGTTTGACTAGAGATAGAAATAATGAAAATATTCAGTATTTTATAAGTTTTTCAACATGTGTTCACAAATGTTTGTACAAATGCTTTTTTAAGAGAGGAATATTAAACGTTGGTGATAACTAGTTTTTCAAGGTCTTATATATTTAAGGATGACATTTTATAATAAATGTTTTAGACCAAAATTCTTTCAGTAAGATATAGCATACTTATTTGTACTTTGTAGAAAAAGAAATAGTGAGGCAGTAAAAACTCCCAGTGCTTCCCCCTCCCCCCAGTTTCTTTTTATTTGACGTATGGACAATGATACTTACTCAGTCTTTCTTATAGAGCTGTTAGAATTATGAAGGCAGCTATGTGAAATAATTTTGAAAACTGATGTGTCCTGAGAGTTTACTTCTTCAAACAGTGTTACTCGTGTTACTCAAGTATGGTTCATGGGTATGTGCGGGTGTCTTGTTTGTTGTGGACCCATAATGAGAATATGGAAATTTTAAGTAGGCATTTAGAAGTGTTATAGAATTCAATGTTAGAGTGTCATTCTTAATGCTTCTCACAAAAATCAGTAGTTGTAACAGATTAGAAGTTCTAAAAACTGGTCCTTTAAGTGGTTTCCTTTAAGTGCTGTGAGCATGATACGGAGGGCATATGGGGACAAATACTGAAACTTAAAATTATTTTCAAAATTTTACTCTCTGGAAATTTTCTATTTTTAGTATGTATTACCCTCTTGAAGTAGATTTTATATATATAAAAGTAGAAGATTTCAGCAGATGGTATTGTGTTACAGATTCTAGCATGTATTATTCATTAAATTGGTTAATTTATCATTTCTATCTTCTTGGCGCTTAAGAATATTTGCTGTTTATTGCTTGCTGGAATGCCTTCTTGGCATAATGAAGGAATATTTGTTTCTTTAGGTTATACAGTGGTTGCTGGAAGAAAAATTGTGTGCGCTGCAGTGTGCTGTATTTGATAAGACTTTGGCAGAATTGAAAACACGAGTGGAAAAGATTGAATGTAATAAGAGGCATAAAACAGTTCTTACTGAACTACAGGTTTGTACATTGACTTGAATTGTATACTCCTTGTGTCATTGTTTTTATAACTTATTTTCTGGGATTTATATTTGAAATTGACTATAAAATACATTTAAATTCTAAATACAAGAAGTAAAAGGAATCTGTTTTAGTTTACCAGGGCTGCTGTAAAGAAAGTGTAATAAACTGAGTGGTTTAAACAGTAGTAGAAATATTCTGTCTCACAGTTCTGGAGGCTAGAAGTTGAAGGTCTAGGTGCCAACAGTATGGATTCTTTTTGAGGGCTGTGTGGTGAGGAAGAATCTGTTCTATGCCTTCACTCTAGCTTCTTGTTGGTATGTGGACAGTCTTTGGCATTGTAGAAACATCACCCTGATCTCTGGCTATATCTTTACATGGTATTGTCATTTTATGTGTGTTTGTTTGTAAATTTCCCCCTTTTACAAGGACACCGGTCATTGGAGTAGGGGCCCACTATACTCCAGTATGACTTCATCTTAACTAATTACCTCTGCAATGACCTTCTTTACAAATAAGGTCACAGTCTGAAATACTGGAAGTTCAGACTTCAATATATGAACCTTTAGGGGACATGGTTCAAACCATAACAGAGGCTCAGAAGTTACTGGATCTAACTTTGTGCTTCATAATTTTTTTCTCACTCACTGAAGAAAGGCTGTAATTTAGCATGCTATAATAAGTACCAAATAATTTTTGTTAGGGATTCTTTTTATGTTAATCTACTTCCTTTCATGGACCTTATGTTTTAAAGATGTTAGCTTACTAACACGTATTTATTACTTTCTACTTTTCATCTTTTATTAAGTACAACGATATTTTTACATATACCAGAGCTTCTGATGAGCTGAAATGAGCACATAGTAGTGTGCTATAGTAATCTACTTTATTTAAAAGCTAAAAAGCTGGTATTTGAATCAATACATTCATTCTGTCATAAATAAGTATATGATTGCTATTGGGCTATTTTATATATGAGCATAGTCCAAAGATGCTGAGTAGTAAACCATGTACTGTGTAGGGCCTTATTTTGCAAATGAGGGGAAAGTGGCCCATAGAAGTTAAATCACTTTTTCAGTTATGAATAAAATTTTAGTTAAATACAATTAGAATTTAAGTGTACCTCCCAGACTCAAAGTTATTTTCTAGGTTTCATACTGTTAATTTTGTTTCGTGTAAGATAAAGTCTTTGTATTAATTTTGTAGTGAACCATTTAGGAATCCACTAGCTCTGCTTCTCACCTTTAGCAGATCTTTCTATAATGATAGTGTTATCTTTTTTTTTTTTTTTGAGGCAGGGTTTTACTCTGTTGCCCAGGCTAGAGTATGGTGGCACAGTCTCAGCTCACTGCAGCTTCTGCTCCCCAAGCAATCATCCCATCTCACCCTCCCAAGTACCTGAGACTACAGGCAGGAGCCAAATTGTATTTTTTGTAGAGATGGGGTTTCGCCATGTTGCCTAGGCTGGTCTTGAACTCCTGGGCTCCTTTCGCCATGTTGCCTGGGCTGGTCTGAACTCCCATCTCGGCCTCCCAAAGTGCTGGGATTATAGGCATGAGCCATCGCACCTGACCTATCTAATTATTAAATTCTATTTTGCTAGTACTGTGTACAGTTTTGAATTAAATCTGAAAATGCCTGAAGATTTGAAAGAATAATTTTATTCATTGTTTCTCATCACACCCATGGGTGCAGCCATGGAATTGTGTTGTTAAAACCTAAGTTTTTGGCTCGGCGCAGGGGCTTATGCCTGTGACCCAGCACTTTAGGAGGCCAAGGTGGGTGGATCTCTTGACTCTAAGAGTTTGAGACCAGCCTGGTCAATATGGTGAAACCCCATCTCTATTCAAAATACAAAAAATTAGCTGGGGGTGTGGTAGCACTTGCCTCTAGTACCAGCTACTTGGGAGGCTGAGGCATGAGAATTGCTTGAAACCGGGAGGCAGAGGTTGCAGTGAGCTGAGATTATGCCACTGTACTCCAGCCTGGGGAACAGAGCGAGACTGTCTACAAAATAAATAAATAAATAAATACTGAAACCTTAGGTTTTGACACCTATCATCTCACACATAAGGTGCAGTCCAGCTTTCTTAACATTTAAATTTGTACTTAGATGTTGCTTTGTAGTCTCAGACTCTGAATCTTTCTAGTGCCAAGCTAGTCATCTTCTCTGCAAATGTTCCTCTCACTGACGATTTTTGAATTCTTGGAAAACTCTTGAAGGAAAATCTTCCCATTGTTCCTGTTTCTCTTATTGACAGCTCTACAGTTCTTGGAAACCGATTCCCCATCAGTCATTTTATATACACAGTGAATTGACAAGTTACAACTTGATTATTTCCTAGAAAAAAAATCTCTCTCAATTCTTTTTACTTTTCATTAGGCCATCATTAGCCAGTTCTTTGATTATAGTAACACCTTTTATATGAACGCTCTGGTATTAGTTTTTAGTTCTTGCTGGTCTTGCCAAAGCTTGGTTACTAATCTTTCTAAAACAGTGATTACATCATTCTCTTTATAGTCCAAGTTCCTCAGTTGTGTACCAGTAAAACTAGTATTCATTTTAAAAATTTTTAAATTTTAATCTCTTAGTTTTTAATTCACTTTTTTTGATATCCACCAATTGCTTTACCGTCCAACAGGGTACTATTAATGTTTATTGTATTTTGATATCAGCCTTTTGATTTCATATTGTTTCCCCTGTTCATTCATCCATAATCATGTGCCCTCACTTTGCTTTTTTTTAAATGTTACCAACCCCAATTTAATTCCTGTCTTATTCCAATACTTTGTTTTTTTATGGAAATAAAATTCAGATACCAGACTATTTTAAAGTGTGTAATTCATTATTATTTAGTACATTCACAGTTTTGTACAACCACTATATCTAGTTTCAAAACATTATTGTCAACTCAAAAGGAAACGTTTTGCCTATTAAACACTCGCTCTTCTTTTCCTCTTACGCTAGCCCTTGGCAACCACTAATCTGCTGTCTCTATTGATTTACCTATTTTGCATATTTCATATGCCTCTTTGACTTAGCATGTTTTCCAGCTTCATCCGTGTTTGTAGCATGTACTTCATTCTTTCTTAGGGCTAAATAATACTCCATTATATGGCGGTATATGTCACATTTTGTTTATACATTCATCCATTGAATGGCATTTGAGTTGTTCCTACTTTTCAGCTATGGTGAATGATGCGGCTTTGAACTTGTATACAAGTATTTGTTTGAATACTTGTTTTCAAATCTTTTAGGCAAATAACTAGGTGTAAATTGTGGGCCATATGGTAATTCTGTAACTTATTGAAGAATCACCCAACTTGTGTTCACAGTGGCTGTTCCCACCAGCAATGTGTGAGAGTTCCATTTTTTCCACATCCTCACCAACACTTGTTATTTTATTTTTACTTTTATTTTTTAATTGTAACATCTGAATGGTATGAAGTATCTCATTAGGGTTTGGATTTGCATTTCTCCAATGATTAATGATGTTGATCAGCATCTTTTCATGTGCTTGTTGATCAATCATATGTACTTGTTTATAGAAATGTCTATTAAAGTCCTTTGCCCGTTTTTAATTTGGATTTTTGCCTTTTTGTTGTTGAGTTGTAAGAACTATTTATATATTCTGGATACCAAACTCTTATTAGATACATGATTGCAAATATTTTCTCCCATTCTATAATTTGTCTGCAGTTTCTTGATAATGCCTTTTGATGCACAAAAGTTTTACATTTTGATGAAGTCTTACAGATAGTATATAGTTTGATCATAATTTATTATCAATTCTGCCAATCTCTACCTTTTAATCAGGGACTTTATTTTCATTTAAAGTAGTTACTAATAAGGGAAAATGTCTGCAATTTTATTTTTCTTCTATATGTTCCATATCTTTTTGGTTTCTACTTGTTATTTTATTTTTACTTACATTTTTAAATTATAGCATCTGAATGATATGAAGTGGTATCTCATTAGGGTTTTGATTTGCATTTTGTTTTGCAATTGATTTTTTTTCCTAGTGTATCATCTTGATTCCTTCTTGCTTCTCTTTCTATACAGTTTTTAGTTTTTTCTTTAGTGGTTACCCTGGGGATTAAATATCTTAACTTTATAACAATTAGGTTTGAATTAATATCTACTTACTTTCAGTAGCATACCAAATCAAATATCATTATGGTTGTGCTCTAGAGAGGGAAATATGGTTTTTTGGTGTAAATACAACCCATATGGCAATTATTGGCAACCGTTCTACCCAAACTTTGCCACCTATTTTGCAGTACATACATAGTTCACCCTGATTCTACCATTCACTCTGAATATAGTAACACTTAGCAAATCGATTCTTGTTAGAACAAATATAAAGCATAGTGCAGGACCATGAGAGGAGTTTGTTGAGATCTTTTATGCTCATTCTTTTGGCCAAATTTGTGTGGTGCAATTGGTTTGGAAATAAAACTTTCAATTCCTTCTTACTATGTATTTCAGAACAATATTCTGTTAACTAATATGATATTTTGGCTTAATATGTTTTAGTATAATTATCTAGGGACAGATTTGATTCAGTTGAATACATCTGAGACAAATTGTTCTATTGGTCTGATAAATCTTTGATCTAGAAATAAAAATAAATACAAATAAACTGCACAGGGATTGGAAAAGGAGACAAGATCCAGAGGAGATTCTTTAAGAACATTTTTATGTTAACCTTGCAGCAATGAAATCTATTGTATATAAAAAGGAAGCAGGAGGCCAGGTGCGGTGGCTCATGCCTGTAATCCCAGCACTTTGGGAGGCTGAGACAGGTGGATCACCTGAGGTCAGGAGTTTGAGACCTGCCTGGCTAACATGATGAAACCTAATCTCTACTGAAAATACAAAAATTAGCCAGGCGTGGTGGTGCATGCCTGTAATCCCTGCTACTTGGGAAGCTGAGGCAGGAGAACTGCTTGAACTGGGAGGCAGAGATTGCAGTGAGCCAAGATGGTGCCCCTGCATTCTAGCCTGGGCAACAGAGTGAGACTGTGTCTCAGAAAATGAAGTAGGAAAGCTACATTTTGAGGAACTCTGTCAAAACTATAATCATAGATCTATTTCTGAAAGTTATTTAACCTAGAAAGCTTTGTCAGATAATGCTGACAAATATTTGAGCAACAGATAATTCTTGTGTGATGTAAACTGTTTCAGGGTGTGGAGATGGATGTGACCTCCGTTTTATGAAGTAAGCCCATCTGTGAAATCTCTAGCACAAGAAAAGCAAAAACATAGTTTTATTCCCCAGCATAGATTTCTCTTATGAATGCAAGCCTGTTTCAGTATTAACAATTATATTTCACCGTACTAATAGAGGAAAGGTGAAAAATAGTGTGATCATTTCAGAACATGTCAATTCAGGATTTGTTAAAATTCATCAGTCATTCATGTGAAAATAGGTGGTAAATACCTTGAATCTCTTAAAGGATTGCTTTCAGAAATCTGCTGTAAATATCATATTTAATAATGGATTATTATAAATATTTCTACTAAATTTGAGAATGAGACAATGTTTATTAATAGATACTGTGATTTAGAGCTTTGATATCAGTCTTGGGCAATACAATGAGACAGAAAGAAGAAATGAGTAACAATTGGTAAGTGGGAACCCAATAGAATTAAGTTGGCAAACTGTTGAATGAAGGAAATTTAGCAACTGCCTGATACAAGGACAACATATTCTAATAGTTTTCCTTACAGCAACAATAACCAATTAGAAAATATAATGAGAAAAATGTTTCACATATGGTAGTTATTTAAAATGAGTAAGCACTTAAGAATAAACCTAAAAATAAATTTTTAAGACCATTATGAAGAAAAAGGACAGATCAAGAAAATAGGAGTCAACTGTGATGGTATACTATGCTCCTAGATAGGAGGACTTGATTCCTCTCAAATCGCAGTATAGTTCAAATTCATAATACTCAAAATTTCAACTAGATTTCTTACGGAAATGGAAAAGCTGTCAACACACCCTGGAATATAATATTCCATTGGTTATGACTTAGAAAATACCATTTTAAGTAGATTTAATTGAAAATGGCTATTTTACTTTCCCTTTCAGTCTCTGCTTCTGTTCTCCATCAATGAAGTAAACTTATGACAACCTAATATGAAGACAGTTTTAAATAATGGAAACTATGGGTCTGTTTATTCACTTGTTTTTATGAGTCAGTAATATTTTGTTACAGGGCAAACTGGATATTAAGAAAACTTGTTTTTTGTAAACAGAGTTATTTCCTAAGAGGTTTCCTGGGTGCATATGCAAAGAAATTCTTGGTTTGTCTAGTTTGCCAAATGAAACCTCTTGTAATAGAATATTACTTTTCTGGAGTTACAAAAATGACTTGTGTATTCATTTTTTAAAAAAGTCTCAGCATATTTGCCAGAATAGCCATTTTTAGATACAGTGTGGCAGATATTTTGAATTATAATTTAAAAAATTGTACAGCTTCCTTTGTAAAAACAAAAGGTTGCTCTTTGATTTCTCTGTTTTATAATATTAAATATCAGAAAACTATAAATTAATGTTCACATTTTGAGTTTGCTTTTCTGCTACTGGTTTCATTTTTAAAATAATAATTCTTTTTAAAAAAGAGTTTGAATACTACAGATCTACATGATGTGAAACTGAGGTTCTTATGTTCACTTTTTTTTTTTTTTTTTGAGACAGAGTTTTGCTCTGTCGCCCAGGCTGGAGGGCAGTGGCGTGATCTCAGCTCGCTGCACCCTCCGCCTCCCAGGTTCAAATGATTATCCTGCCTCAGCCTCCCGAGTATGTGGGACTACAGACGCGTGCCACCACACCCGGCTAATTTTTTGTATTTTTATTAGAGATGAGGTTTCACCGTGTTAGCCAGGATGGTCTCCTGACCTTGTGATCTGCCCACCTTGGCCTCCCAAAGTGCTGAGATTACAGGTGTGAGCCACTGTGCTCGGCCCTTATGTTCACTTTCTTTCCTGCTTTCTGCCAGTTACAGCTTCCAGGGATGATTACATTTAACCTTGGAATGTATTGAAATGTATCCTTGTAGATCTTTTTCTATACATGTAACATTTACAAGGTGATTTTGGGGGAGCTTAAGTAAAAATAGAATAATAAATAATAATATACATACTATGCAATTTATAATATAACCACATAGATAATCTGACCAAAGAAAAAAATGACATTCTTGCATAAATTGGCATATAAAAAAACTGTCCCCTTTTCTGTCACCAGGTGGAATGCAGTGGTGTGATCTTGGCTTACTGCAACCTCTGCCTCCTGGGTTCAAGCGAGTCTCCTGCCTCAGCCTCCCAAGTAGCTGGGATTACAGGTGCCCATCACCACACCTGGCTAATTTTTGTATTTTTAGTAGAGACGGGGTTTCACCATGTTGGCCAGGCTGGTCTCGAACTCCTGACCTCAAGTGATCCACCCACCTTCATCTTCCAAAGTGCCGGGATTACAGGTGTGAGCCACTGCATTCGGCTTCCCCATATGCCTTTTTAAAAAGTTATTAAGATATTTTAGTCATCAGAAAGATAACTTCATATTAAGGATATGAAATTATGCTGTATGATCTTGAGCCTTAATAACATGCATAAATAACTGAGTTCTTAGGAAAATCTTAATCTTTGGGAGTCATAGGTGACTGACTGCCTAGGCCATAATATTGGACTTAAACACATTGTAAGATTTGGAGTCTTCTTTAGAAGTGACTGCTTTTTGAAAGAAACTTTAAAAGTAAATCATAACATTTCCTCATTTTTATGAAGTGAATGCCCTTATTAGATAAAAGAAATTCTCTGGCAGAGCTCTTCTTAGGTAGGGCCTCATGAATATACTCAGAAGTTTAATTTTCTTGAAAATATGTTTAATGGAAAATGTCTTCAGCAGCAACAACAACAGAAACAATTGAATATTGCATCTATGCCTAAAGACTGAAAGGAAATACAACCAAATATTCATGTAGTCATATGAGAATTTTTCTTTATTTTTCTTTCTGTTCTGCCTTTTTTCCTTAGATTTCCTTTCAATATTTATTTGGGCAAAATATGTGATCAGGAAGTTTATATAAGCACAGCAAATGATTAATAATCTTACTGACCATGTTGATACTAACAAAGTAGTGGGTCTTTTTTTTTGAGATGGAGTCTTACTCTGTCTCAGGCTGGAGTGCAGTGGCACTGTCTTGGCTCACTACAACCTCTGCCTCCCAGATTCAAGCGATTCTCCTGCCTAAGCCTACCAAGTAGCTAGCATTATAGGTGTGTGCCTCCATGCCTGGCTGATTTTTGTATTTTTGGTGGAGATGGGGTTTTACTATGTCAGCCAGGCTGGTCTTGAACTCCTGACCTCTGGTGATCTGCCCGCCTCGGCTAAAGTGCTGGGATTACAGATGTGAGCCACCATGCCTAGCCATGGTAACATTTTTATCAGATTGTTAAAGATTAACAGAATATGGAATTTAATTTTTGAAAAAATAACATGAGCATTCATCTATACTTCTGTTGAAAGTGTCACAGTAAAGCCTGCACATCTATCCATATGTAGTAGTGGCAAGCAGTTTTTTATGATTTAACAGATTTGTTTATTTTATGACTCTCAGAAAGTCAAGTATGATTACAACTATGTTAAAAAAAAAAAAAAAAAACCAGAAAACACAGGCTTACATATTCAGGAATGTACTGGTAACTAAGCAACAACCACAGTTTGAGGAAGAAATAAGCTAACTTAATTAGAGTGTTTACATATGAATATTGAGTTTAGGGGTCACTTAGTTTTAATTATTATTTTCTGTATTTTCCAAGTATATATTTTACAATCAGATAATTTATTTTATTTGCTCTTAGCTGTCTTCTGCGGATCAGGTTTTCTATATGTTTCTTGTTATATATTCATTTTTTTAAATGCTATAATACCATTTGATTTCCATTCATTTTTGTCTTTTTTTCCTCAGGCCAAGATAACCAGGTTAACCAAACGCTTTGAAGCAGCCAAAGAAGATCTTAAGAAAAGACAAGAAGTAAGATTTTCTATTCTTGCATAATTAATATTTAGCTCTAAGTGGTAATCTTAGGAAATGCTGAATTAGGAGGAAACTCTATTACAAATCTGAAATTTGCTTTCATACTGTGTATTCCTATATGTAATTTCTGGACTTATAGCTCTAAAACTAATGAACCCCTTTCAAATTCTCATTTACTATTCTCATATATCAACATTTATATTAATCTGTTTTAGGTTATGCAATTCTTTCTTTTGTTTGTTTGTTTTTTGAGATGGAGTCTTTCTCTGTTGCCCAGGCTGTAGTGCAGTGGCATCATCTTGGCTCACTACAACCTCTGTCTCCCAGGTTCAAGTGATTCTCCTGCCTCAACCTCCTAAGTAGCTGGGATTACAGGTGCCTGCCACCACACTCAACTGAATTTTGTATTTTTAGTGGAGATGGGGTTTCACCATGTTGGCCAGGCTGGCCTCGAACTCCCGACCTCAGGTGATCTGCCTGCCTTGGCCTCCCAAAGTGCAAGGATTACAGACGTGAGCCATTGCGCCTGGCCCCTTAGGTTATGTACTTCTTGAAGCTGTGTTTTCTATCCATCTTTAAAATTATGTTTCAGGGATTTGTCTTACCTCGTTTCTTCATTTTACGTTCTTGTCGGTGTCCTAGTATGGTCTCTTACTATTTTTCCCAAAGTATCTTAGTATTCTACTGACTGTAATGTTTCTGTTCTCCCCTTCCTTTCTTCCCCATATAGTCAATCCTCTTTTATACATTACTTGTAATATACAGAGATTAGATTAAGTCACTTTATTGCCTTAAACATTTTGAGTATTTTTTAAAGTGTGCAATTAAGTTCAAACATGATGGCATAAAATCTGGCTTTTGCTTTTTGTTGTTTCCTTCATTTTTTCTTTATTATTTTGCTGCTCTTCTGTTATTTCCTTTATTATTCATATTCTAATATAGTACTTTGTATATTGCATTATAGTTTTTAGTTGGGTTTATTTTCTTTTCCTCCTGAATTTTTTTTGTTTTTAATTTTTTTATTTGAACAAGTTCCATTTCTTCATCTTGATAGCTCCATTGTCTGGCACATAGTAAATTGCCAGTGCCAATAAATAGTAATCATATTTCCTAGGGATTTTTCTGTATTGATGCATTTTCATATATTCTTTCCTGTCTTTGCAGCAGTAGTACATAGATCCCTATGAACTCTTCCCCTAGCTTCCACTAGTGATGAAATCTTATCTTAGTAGTACAGTATCAAAGCAAAGAAACTGACAGTTTTGTGAAGTAGTTTACAGACTTAACAGTTTTTACATGTGTGTAAAAATTCATTGTGCATGTGCATCTATTTGCGAGTGTTTATGTTTCCATGCAGATTGATCACATGTATAGATTTTTGTAGCCCCCCATCACAGTGAAGACATAAAATTGTTATGTCACCGTAAGTGTACTCCCTCATGCTACCCTTTTATGGTTTTGTTTTCACTAGTTAATCTGTTCTCTATCTCTGTATTTTTTTTTAATTTTTAAGTGTTGACTTCTTTTTTTCTTGAGCAACTAACAGTTGGTTTTTGTTTTTGTTCTGCAAACACTAATCTTCCCAAAGTTTCATTTGGTCATACCTAAAGATTTTTTTCATTATGGTCTTTTTCAATGATGTAATTAACTGACTATTTCTAAACTCTACTTTCTTAGTTTTGTTTCTTTGTCATAATTCAAAGACTGAGCTGTTTTATTGTTAGATAATGGGTATAAACATTTTTCTTTTTAATTTTATTTTTAACTTGAGAATACTGTTTTGATGTAAGGGTATAAATTTTTACTTTAAAACATTTATTTTTTATTTCTGAACCAAGCATTTGTCTTTGAAACTTTTCTCTTTGTTTTTTACAGTATGAATTTCACTTATTCTCTTTCCTTCTTGTGTCTGAACCAAACAACATTTACACTGTGTACTTTTCAGTTTTAGTACATGTCGAATTTGTTCTCGAACACTACTGTCCAATTCTTCTAGCCTATGTAGTCAAAGGAGACAGGCAGAGACTTTAAGGAATATGGATGAAAACATTATAGTTCCTGAACATTGCTGTTTTGGAGAGCTAGAAGTCGTTTCAAAACAAAGAAAAAATTCCATACAAGCTCTGAAAATTGGATGTGATTAATTTGATCAATTAGGGCATGTGGTACTTGAAGAAAAATGTTACGGTGGTTGTTTTTGAATCTTTCAAATTTTGTGCCTTCATTAGCTTGTGGTTAAGGCACCTTTCTACACATTATTATTAATATATTTTTTTCCAGTCAGATGTCTAGAAATTTGAGAATTTAAATCATTCATTTATTTTATTTTATTTTTGTTTTTTTTGAAACAGGATCTCACTCTGTTGCTCTGGCTAGAGTGCAGTGGCACAATCTTGGCTCACTACAACCTCTGCCTTCCAGGCTCAAAATATTCTCCCACCTCAGCCTCTCAAGTAGCTAGGGCTACAGTCACATGCCACCACGCCCAGCTAATTTTTGTATTTTTTGTAGAGGATAGTGTCTCATTGTGTTGCCTAGGGTAGTGACGAACTCCTGAGCTCAACCAGTCTGCACACCTTGGCCTCCCAAAGTGGAATTACAGCTGTGAGCCACCATGCCTAGCCCTTATTTATTTATTCATTTATTTATTTATTTATTGACAGAGTCTTGCTCTGTTACCCAGGCTGGAGTACAATGGTGCAATCTCAGCTCACTGCAACGTCCGCCTCCCGGGTTCAAGCAATTTTCCTGCCCCAGCTTCCCCAGTTTCCCTATTAGCTGAGATTACAGGCACATACCACCAGGCCCAGCTAATTTTTAGTATTCTTAGTAGAGATAGGGTTTCGCCATGTTGGTCAGGGTGGTCTCAAACTCCTGACCTTGTGATTTGCCCACCCTGGCCTCCCAAAGTGCTGGGATTATAGGCATGAGCCACCACACCCAGTCCCCAGCCCTTATTTATTAATTCTTACAAAGGTGACTTATGGGATGTGGTGTGAGTTGCACTCCTGCTAGTTTTCAAAGCTACATCTGATTATGTGTAACCATTTTAACCATCAGTCATCACACTGCCTCATGGTCCATTATTGTTGATAATGACTTACCCTTACATCTGTAAATTTTGTCTGAACTCTGCCCTCTAATTATAGTATCCACTATAATTTTATACTTGTTTCTTGCTAGGTTTTAAAAACAGAGATACAGAAAGGAATATTCCTCTTATCAATAAATAGCCAATAAAACTTTAAATGCTTTTATTTTATTTAGATTTGCACCTTGGTCCTCTGCTATTAGCTTATTAAAACAAACCTCACCATTCACGTTTGTCTCTAAACATTTTCTATTTTATTTCTAAAAGAGCAGGAAACCTTCATAAAGGCACCTCATTTCTAAGACCACATTCATAATCCAATCTATTACACTGATGGATGACTGTTGTCTCTACCTTTGGTTCTTTCCAGCTCTTCCTATAAAATAATATTCAAGATATTTTTCATACTTATCCTGTATCTATATAAAGCAATCACTTAGTGAAATTTTGGATTAAATCTAAATTGTGCACTGGATGTTTTCTTTTTAAAATTTTAAGAATTCTTTTTGTTTTTAATTGTGATAGAAACATAAAATATACTCTCAATCATTTTTAAGTGTACAGTTATTTCAGTATAGTATTCACATTGTATATAACAGATCTCTAGGACTTTCTCATCTTACAAAACTGAAACTGTATACATAAAACAACTCTCCATTTGCCTCTCTTTCAGCCCTTGGAAAACATCATTCTACTTTGTTTTTATCATTCTATTTTAGATAGCTCACACAAGTGAAATTATACAGTATTTGTCCTTTTCCGACTTGCTGACCTCACTCAGTGCAATATCATCAAAATGCACACCTGTTGTAACGTGTGATAGGACTTTCTTCTTTCTCAGAGGAGAATAATATTCCATTATACATTTTTATTGTTTCATTTGTTGATGGAGATTTGGGCTGTTATTATCTTGGGGCTATTTTGAATAATGCTGCAATAGACATGAAGTGCAGCTATCTCTTTGAGATCCTATTTTTAATTCTTTTGCATGTATAGCCAGAAGGGGAATTAATGGGTTGTATGGTAATACCTTTAGATATTTGAGGAGCCCCCATACTGTTCTTCATCGAGGCTGCACTATTTCAGATTTATATAAGTAATGCTCAAGAGTTCCAGATTTCCCATAACCTCACTAACATGTTATTTTCTATTGTTTTGTTAGTGACCATCCTCATGGATGTATGTGATATCTCATTGTGGTTTTTATTTGCATTAATAACTAGTGATATTGAGCCTCTTTTCATATGCTTGTTGGCCATTTATATGTCTCCTTTGGAGAAAAGTATCTTCAGGTTCTCTGCCTATTTTAAAATCAAGATGCTTATTTTTGTTGTTGCTAAGTTGTAGGCATTCTTTATATATTCTGAATATTGACCCTTATATAAATTATTTGCAAATTTTTTGCATTGTTTACTTATCACTTGATTGTTTCCTTTCATATACAGAAGTTATTAAGTTTGATCTAGTCCTATTTGTCTATTTTTGCTTTCGTTGCCTTTGCTGTTAGTGTCATATACAAAAGAATTATTGCCAAATCTAATGTCATGAAGCTTTTCCTGTATGTTTTCCTGTAGGAATTTTATAGTTTTAGGCCTTATATTTAAGTCTTTAGTCAATTTTGAGTTAATTATATATATTTTGTCAGGGTCCATCTTCATTCTTTTGGATGTATATATCCAGTTTTCCCAGCACCATTTATTAAAGAGGTGTCCTTGCATCATTGTGTGGTTTTGACAGTTTCGTTGAAGTTCATTTGATCATATATGTGAGTTTATTTCTGGGCTCTCTATTCAGTTTGTTTGGTCTCTGTTTTTGTGCCAGCACCATCTTTTTTTGATTACTGTAGCTTTGTAATATATTTTGTGAGGTCCCCACCCCCAACCACTTTGGCCACTGTAGTGTAATA